TCCGCAAGACCATCTAACCCTCTTACTGAAAATCTAATTCATCTAGCCTATCAAACAAACCGTTTGAGTCAGGAAGGCTGCACCGATTGTTGACTCTTGATATTCGTGGAACTGTCCTTTGACAAAACGCAAGACTAATGATGATTTTCCTGGAAATGAAAATGGATGAATACAAAAAGAATTTATCGACTCGTAGATATGACCACTAATCTTTATACAATGAAATTTTAAAATCGGTAAGTGTCAGCGTAAACAACAAAGAAAAACAAAAGCGTTGTTGAGTTCACATTCAGATTCAATATACACAGGGAAGTGCTGACATGCTCCTGAAAAGGGAAACTGGTCATGGCAAAAACTTCAGTCATCGTTTCCTTAACAAATAAAGGTCATGGCTCACAATTCTGAGTAACTTATCACGCCAAAAATTAGTAGCTAATTGGTATGCGGAAAAATCCACTTCTTATTGAAAGGAATAGAAGAGAGACCAGTTTTGCTTCACCTTGTGTAACGTGTCCCTGCAAATTCGCAAACTACTATGAAACAACGAAAATAGTAGAATGGATTCACTGTAGGCTTTTGAAAAGTAAAGCCACATCTATATGTTGGCTGACCTAAATGAATCACCGCTGGATGGGAATTCTCATGCAGCTCCAATATTACCGGAACTAATGTGAGAACCTAACATCCACAGCACAGCGTTTTCAAAGGATCTCAGGCTGGTGTCAGAGTCCGCGATCCGTCGCAGGTTTCGCAGGTTCCACGCGATTCAAGCAATTTAAACGGTTCGCGTGAATCGCGCGGATCGCCATCACTATCAAGCAGAAGTGGCGGCAGGATTGGAGAACACCTTGCAGTATTGATCGGGCACTTGTGATTTCCGTGACCCGTCGCGTGAATCGCGTAAATCGCGCAAATCGCGTGAATCGCGCGAAACCTGCGACGGATCGCGGACTCTGACACCAGCCCTAGGGAAAACAAAAATCAAAGCATGAAGTGGTTCCGGAAGTTTTCGAGTCCTGTACGCTTAGAAGAATTCAAGTCAGACATGTGAGCCAGCAGAGCTACAATTTCGGAGATACTAATCGGCGTTTCTTTACTTTTTTTTCCAAAAAGCGTCGCATTCTATAATCGTTTCGGCAAACTATACGATTCGTTACCGAACACCTCTAGTTCCGAACACCTCTAGTTGGGTAAAGCTGTAAAAAATGTGAAAATGGATCGAAGTGCGTGGAAGGAAACTCTCAATTCTCATTCCTTACTATTGCAAGTGGATGATTTACACTTCTGAAATGAAAGTTACTTTGGGAAGCATGCTTATGACAACAAGGTCATGCGTGACGCATTTTAGAAAAAAAATAAACATGCACTGTGCACACAACAACTGTAGTGCACACAAGAGTGCAGTGTTGATGTTCATGTACAGTACACACGGATGGATGGTTTTGTGAGCGATAAGTGTACGTTGACAGGTCTCACAGAAACTTCAAAGCTCCCTTACGACTCCAAGTTTGAACGCACGTAGGACAGTGTGAGTGAAAGATCAGAGCTGATTCTCTCACTGCATGGCGACGAAAGACACTTCAGCACAACAATGTGCAATGATTGCACTGCACACCAGTGCAAAACATAAGTCACATGCCACATAATATTGAGGCAAAATTAATATGAAGCGACTCACCAACAGCGCTTTCGCCCAACAGCACAAGCTTGAACTGGCAGGTTTTATTCGCGCCACCAGCGCGAGGAGCAGGAGCGGACCGGTTTGCCATACCACTAGAAAAATTCACAGATTTTTTAAAGCATATGTGCAACAAGTGGCGAAAAAAGTGCGGATCATGTACAACAGTTATACGAACGACACGAGTCCTTCAACGCATTCAGGACGCAAAACTTGGTGAACTTCGAGACTAAATCGATCGAAGATATGACTAGCAAAGTAGGATGTTCTAATCCCATAGTAAAACCACTCGTCCATTCACAGCGCAAAGCTCAGAGACCCGTGGCCAGCGATGACACAGAAATCGAGCTTGATTTCACTGCGTACGCGCGACAGTCGTCGACTTGTCTGAGTATCAATCGTTATCCTCCTTTATTTTCATGCTGTTCCAGTCAGGGTCCACCTATGAGCGCAACTGTTACGAATTTTTGCACTATGACCACTTGCAAACTCAGTCCTGGGTCAAGGTGTCTCAGTTGCCCACGATGACGGGGTGTACATAATTTTAGCTAGGATTGCTTTTTTTGACGCTTCTTGCTGTAGACAGTCTTCCGTATTCTCATAACTACCGCCTAAAGGTGGTGTATTTCGCGTGATTGCTTCATTTTTCTACATTGAATTCTCGTGACAATTAACTCTAAACTATGATTTGAAAGCTGCGGTTTTTGCTATCCATAGCTTGGCAAATCTTCATCTTCGTTTCTCAGAGCCTAGGCCGCAGTCATACCTTGCGACTGTTCTAGAGTTCGTTTTGCAGTGTATTGAATATGTATCGACTACACGATTCTGCGATCATGCGATCGCAAGATCGCATGTTCGATACCTATCTAATCCATGATCCAG